CTGCTCATGGCTATGCCGAACGTGGGGAAATAGCTCTTTCCCCTGTAAGCTCCTGCGGAACTCCACACGAAGAAGACTACTTATTGACGATGGCTGAAATTTCACAAGTTCGACTAACAGCCAAGCTGGTTGTCCTTAGCTGCTGTCATAGTGCAAGTGGTCAGATTAGAGCCGAGGGGGTTGTTGGAATCGCTCGAGCATTTCTAGCATCTGGTGCACGCGCCGTGCTGGCGGCGCTGTGGGCTGTAGATGACAAAGCTACCATGTGGTTTATGAATCGTTTTTACGAGCACCTTGTTCATGGTGAAAGTGCCAGTGAATCTCTTCATCAGGCCATGAAGTCGATGAGAGAGACTCGCTTTTCTGACGTCATGCAGTGGGCACCCTTTATGCTGATTGGAGATAATGTGACATTCAAAGGTTTGTATTTGATATCATTTTTAGGTTTTTTAGTTATCTTAGTCAAAATTTGTGAAATTGATGTTCCTGACACTACGCATCATTTTGAAAAATATTATTCAAGGAGTTATACTGAGTTTTCTTAGTTTTTTGTTTATTGTCTTTTCCAACCCTGTTCATGGAAGGGAGGCAACTGGAGAGAAGGCCGAATTTAATTATTTTCCGATTTTTATGAAATATTTCGTAAAGCATGCTCGAATCTCTAACTAACTAAAATGAAAAGTTGGAAAACGATAGTTGAGATTCCAAAGAGCATACCAAAACAATTTATTAACTAGTAATAGTTGACACTACAGCTGCCCCCGCTCTGTACATTGTCGGTCAATAGTATTCTTGCTCGTTGTGTAAGTCTTTGAAATATACCGATGAAGATTTTCACACATATTTCATACAACAGGTGAGATAAATACAGGAACCCGGCAAGGTTCCATGCACAGTCCCAGTTCGATTTACACAGCTTTGATCAAAACATTCTCTGTTTCGGGAAAGTTTATTCTAAACCATAAGAAAAGATTTAATTAGAAGTTGAATTTTTCGCTATTTCTCTTTCACTTTTTACATTCAGTTCATTTTATTTGCCGGAAAGTGAGCCTTAGAAATCAAAAAGACGTTTGATCAATTCACGCTCGCGCATTCTAGTCTTCTTTTAAACTTTATAGCGGAAGGACATCTGTGAGCAGGGAATAAGTCAGCTCAGAATTTGATTGTAGGTGAATTTCTGTAATCTCCCAACGTTCTGCTATAGTGATAAGCTAGCCGTTGATTCACTTGTCTTGCTTGTTTGGGGCTGAGTCTTATTCCGGTCAAAGATAGAGAAAGAGTGTCTGGTAAGGTTTCCAATCAAAGATTTGTGAACTCGTGCCTGGCAAACTCTCCAAGTGTTTATATATACACAGTTATACGAACCTTATAACTTCATCTGCGCTTAACGAGTGTCTTTTGGTCCATAACTTTCAAAACAACTGCTCCACAGAATGTCACTGATAACACGTAACGCAAAAGAGTATCGAAGTACGACTGCACAATAGATGTCACAAAATCTACCTAAGCGGTCCTTTCGGGATTTCCTGTCTTTACGTCATCCTAACCATTTCGTACTTGCGGGCGCAAACAATAGAAACGTCATCATTACCTACCGATTCCTGGCGGCCCCTGTTCAAGTAAATCGAGATTTTTTCTGGCGTACTGACTGTATATTTCAACTGTAAGTACTTTCGTTAATACACGCGCGAGTTACTAGAGTGCCTCCTCGGGATTTCGCCTTCTGGGCGAAATCCCTGCGGGGGCAATAAATCATAGAGAAGAGAAGTAAGTGTTAAACACACTTTTTCTTGAGGGTGTACCTGATGAAAGAAAAAATGTAGCCTGTACCAGGCCCCGCAACTGAGTCGCTCCGCACGCCTTTCACCGCTTCGTCCTTACTATCTGAGAGCCTGAAACAGGCTAAAAAAAAACGCTGCTAGTATTTTTAGTCTTATAAAGATTCATCCTCAGGGAACCAAAGACAGCGCAGAGGGTATACGTACTAATTACCTGTGGGTGAGAGTTTGAAAGCAGACGGGAAGATTCCCTGGGCACTTAATCTAACCCAAGCAGCTGCAGGAGCATTTGATTTTGGAACTTTTATTTTATGCAGGTATTTTTCTGGCAAATGAGCTAAGGCCAACTCCCTTGTCGATTTCGTGTGTTCTTAAAAGGAGGTTTTTTGTCATCAATCGCCTTGATACTTGTTCCGCCGAGAAGTCGAAAGATTTAATATGCCCCCAAGAAAGTATTGATTCGATTGGGTTTTACAATACGTTTTGCTTTAGTTCTCTTCGTGGTCGCGATTTTGTACCAGAGGAGATGGCTGATATTCTGAGCAATCATTACACAGGCTGCTTGGGCTGCTCGGGCGGCAAGGCATAGCATGGTTGGCTTGATATCAATCTCCTGCTTCAAGCTATAATCTGATCAGTATACAAACAGCAAACGAATCGAAGGAATTTGAAATAAAGTAAAATATTCTCACTGCATACATAATTGTCCGTTGACGCCGGGAATTAAGTAAGAAACTCTTTTAAATTCCGTGGTGTTTGGCCTGCGCGCTCGTGGCATGATGCATTGCGGCCCTTGGTTAGAATTGCTTAGTTTTTTCCCGCCTCTTGACTAGTTCAACGGAGTTCAGTGGAAGTGACTTAGAAGTTTCGCCCTTCCCACCTCCCCTGGTGGCGGTTGACGTCGCTTACTCTCATTATTCGGCATGCCTATTGTCCTGGCAGTCGCTGTTGCCTTCCACAATTTAGTTCTCCGTGTCGGAACAATAGGTATGCGGTGAAAATATTATACGAATCACATTTAAGCTGAAAGTGATACAATACGACTTAACTGAATTTTTAGCATATAAATGATTCCTCAAAATGTAAAGGTTTTGTCATTTGTTTGACTTTGAACAAATCTGTGCCAGATATTTAGGTAAAACATTTAGCGCAACGAGCAACAGAAGCATGTTGATCGATGGCTAAAATAAATCGTGCACAGAATACATACATAAGGGAACCGTCATGATTAGTTTTTTATTTGTATCGCAGGTGCATTTGATAAGAGCAGTTTGAAAGATGGCGAAGGTGCAACGGAAACAAAGAACTTGTAAACTGAGAGGAAACATGTTCAAGTTGACAACTACTGTCACAGCTGTACATAAATGTATATACCTAGGATCTCAATGAAGTATTCTTGTCTGACACCGCAAAGTGAACAGGTGATAATTGTACTGTTTAAAGCAGGCGTCATTTTGATACGTTACGGGGGAAGGTGAAGCATGAGCTAAGCGTGGAGCACAAGGAGAAGGGATAGCCAGGACCAGTTAGTCGTCCTCATAGTGGAGACGTCAAAGTTGTATAGACCTTCTGAACCCACGTCTACTATATTAGTCAGGGCTTCTTTCGTTCTACGTGACTTCTGCTACTCTCGTCAAGGCCTGCCCTTCAATTCACGCTTGCTTCAAATAAGCTCAATTACTTACATGTCTTACATCAACACGAGTATCACTTTGGTTTGATAAACTTTGTAAAGGTACTGATCTTGACAAAAGTGATGAAATGCCAAATAGATATCTAAGTTATAATATAATTTTACTTAGTTAGTTCTGTCACACCATCATTGGTCAAAGGCCTTGGATGAGGGCAAACAGGTGGACGCTGTTTTCCTGGACTTTGCAAAGGCTTTTGACAGAGTGGCACATAATATCCTGCTGCAAAAAAATGTGTAATTTTGGTACCTCCTTTGCGCTTTGAATTGGTATAAGAATTATCTCACCGACCGAGAACAGAGAGTTGTCATAGAAGGAATAAATTGTACATGGTGTGCTATTTCATCGGGCGTACCTCGGGGCTCCTTATTGGGCCCTTTTTTCTTTGTAATTTTCATTGGTGATTTGCCTGAAGTAGTAATGCCAGGAAACTGTGTGTCATTATATGCTGACGACTGCAAAACATCCAGGATTATAAACTGTCCAGCTGATCATTCCGTATTTCAGTCAGGGCCCAGTTGTTCGAACGCCGGTTAGCGCTAACCCGGGGTTAAATTTTAACCCAGGTTTCTTTTTCTTTTTATCAAANTGAACAGGGTTAGGGTTCAAACCCAAAGCTTTATTTCAATAGTATACAAAAGTCTGTTAAAAGGCGTTTTATACTGAAACCCTCTTCAAATTGTACAGAAGAACTTCCACCGGTTGGATGCCCTTACTACCATTGAGGTATGAGAGACTCTTCTTTCCATGCTCGGTCATACAACTATGTTCTTAACCCTTTAAGCCCTAAGAGTGACCACCATCAAATTTCTCTCTGTAATATCAATGCGTTGTAAAACAGAGTGGTTATGAGAATTACGGACATGATCATACAAGATGAATTTGTTTGATGTTTTATCAACTTCTCCCCATTACTTCTGAAGGAAATGAATAGGGGCTGCAAATGAGAATTCCAATTTTGATCTTAGGGTTTAAAGGGTTAAGATTACAGGAGGGTATGACAAATATCCCTGATCGGCTGCTTCTCACATACAAAAAAAAACAATAGATATAATGTTTGCAACAGTAATTCACAAGGGGACGAACAAGAAGTGTTCTATTTACTCAGCAGTTTCACTGACAAAGACATTTCAACAGAACTTGATGAACGTGCCAAATTACTATAAACACAGTACATATCAAAACAGAAAAAAATAATAATAATAAAATAAATAAATATAATAGAATAAAAATTATACGAAGATATGAAAATAAAAAATACAAAAATATACAAAAATAATGCTAAGAGGAAATCTAGCTATATAGAATCCAAAATACTGTAAAAAAAGTTACAATTAAAACAATTTTTCTGCTGTGAAACTCGTGTCAGAGGTAAACTTGTGGCAAGTCCAAGTCCAAGCAATATACTTGCATCAGATTGCAAGTTTTTGTTCTATTACTAGCTTAGTTGCTTATAACACATGAGTGAGTTTATAATGAAATAAATGAGTTTGAAATAAAAGCAAAAAATATAGCTTCATACTAAAATAAAAAGTGACGTTCCTCCGTCAATTCCTGGCTAATGCTGGTGGCAAGAGAGACTACTGGTTGTAGTTCACAGGCAATGAACAGGGAATGTGGTCAATGGCTTTGGTCAATTACAACAGAACAATAACGTTAATAACGCATGTGCACTCTCATATCCTGAATAAAAGTGTCCTTTCGCCGACGCACATACACGTTGAGAGTACCCTAGGGGAAAATTTTTCAGCATAGATATTAAGGTTAGCTTACGGAAACAGACGATGACGAGAGACAACAAAAGCTGATACAGTGTTCGAAAAGTTAACCCAGAAAAGTAAAAGGATAATGTGAGTTTTTAAACACGTTCCCCTAAGGAAGGACAGTCATGTACTAGATTTTACTCAGTAGGATATTTTTATAAATATGCAAAACTTCGAGCATACTGAACAATTAAAACGCCTTTTTTCCCTTCTCAGCAACACTTAAAAAATAAACGAAACGAAATATTCCGCTCCTGTCACCTGCAAATGGAAACAGAGAGGGAGTAACAAAAAAAAACTCAAACGCAAGGTCTTAGCTTCGCCACCCATTTCAGCGTTTTTGTCGCAAATGATGCAAAGAAAGTGAGCTAAACGAGTTTATGCGCTGCTTTCCCTTAAGCCTTACGGTAGCACCTTACGTCGCCTCGGGGCTTACATGGAATTAGCTAAGGCTCCTAAATGTTGTAGTGTAGAGCACCCTGTTGGACGGGAAAAAAACCTGAATTAGAGCCTCTAATTTTCCTGCTGGTCATTAAAGCCATTTTAGCTATTTGTGGTTCGTGTGGTTTTGCGATAAGCAAGTACAATGGTTGGTGTTAATTCCACTCAATTTTGCTACACCCCCTTACGTCAGCTTTGTTTCACGTTCATTGAACATTTATAGGAAAAAGAGCGAAAAACGTAAACAAAGATAATGTTGTCAACTAGGATGAATTGTTGCATAATGAGACAGCTAAACTAGAGTTATTCCCTTAGCATGGTTTGCATTAATGATAAATTTACCTCGCGGTTTTTTTCCCAAGGTTCATTCAATTGGCCAACAAATTTAAACTGAAAATTATTCATGAATAAGAAATTTCAGTCACGTTTCCAAATCGTCTAGTGTTTAGTTTATCTAATTGGGAGCATCTGCTTGCTTCCGTCCGTTCAGTCATAGCTTGAAATCTTTTGTACCTTACTGACATCGATTGCAATGAACGACTCAAACAGAACAACAAAGGAAAGTTTACCTACCAGCGACACATTGGCTATTGTTCAAGTAACATTCTACACTGCTATAACAATCTTTGGAACAACTGCAAATTTAGCTTTGTGTGGCACTATGATAAGGAAAAAACAGCCACGGAATGCTAGCGAGTATCTGATCCTTAATCTCGCCTTTACTGACCTTATGACCTGTGCAGTTGGAATCCCCCTGGATGTTGCTGTGATTTTATCTCAACGCTGGCCTTTCGGCGCTCTCATGTGCAAAGTTGTGTGGCCTTTCCAAACTGTTCTTATTGCAGTGTCTGTGGGAACTCTAACGTGTATGGCTATTGAGCGATACAGAGCTATTTTGACTCCTTTCAAAAAAATGCTTTCTCAAAACGTTGTGAAGATTGTTATTTGTGCGGTTTGGTGTTTATCTGTTGCTCTTGTAGCACCTTACATTGTTATACTCGAACATAAAGATGGTGTGTGTCGTGAATCGTGGCATAACGAGTACCATCCAAAGATGTTTACCGTTGGCGTGTTCTTGCTTTTCTACGCAACCCCTCTAGGCGTGATTGGTCCTGCTTATGCGTGTATTGGACGCAGACTACATTCGGACGATAGAAAGATGAGAAAATTTAGCCAACAACAAGGTCCTGGCAATAGACAGTTTCAGGCACTAGTGAGAAAGCGATCCAGAAGCAACGTTGTGATCGTGAAAACATTTTTATTTGGCGCCGTGGCATTTGCGATCTGTTTACTCCCTTACCACGTTATGTGGCTGTGGCATGACTTTGGGCAAGGAGGTCGATGGACACATTTTGAAGACACTTTGGTGTTTGCAAATGCATTAGTGTACTTTAACAGTCTTGTCAATCCGTTTATATTTGGGGGAACAGTGGCTTTTAATTGGCGAAAAAGCTGTACCGCCATGTTTGCTAAAATCATGATTCGCTGGAGCCAGAATTCATCACAGAGCACACACTATATTATAACTCGCAAGCAAAATGACGCCAAAATTCTATTGCAGCAACAATCCGCGCGATCATCGAGCTTTGTCCAATATAGTTCATCTGTTTGACAAAATGAATTAATTTAGTGTGCGTTTACTTAATTGAAAAGAAACTTTCAGTTTAAAACGCTGATCGACCACTTACGAATAAGCCTTATTTCATTCTTTACGAATAATGGAAACCATTTTTACTCATTTTGACACCAGCCTCCAGCCTGAAAACCACTAGACTGCAAAACATTTGAATTTTTTATCGCTTGGTTTCCGGCTTATATTTCAACCAAGAAAGGGTTTTCTCTTGAAGAACTTAATCAAACGACAGCGCCTCCCAATATGTTTTAAAACTTCTTATCACTGACCACAAAATCCCTAGCTCTTACACAATGACTTAATAAACTTCACACAATAGAAAGAGACAATAGTACGAACATTAGTATACATGGAGTATCAAACCGTTTATTCAAGGCACGATCTGTCTAGACAGAAAGCTAAATATTGATAAAGAACCTGAGATCACATGTTGTAAAGAAACAATTTTCCACGTAACTATTATGTAAAAGAACAATTTTTACCCTGAAAAATTTATCAAAAAAAGTTTTAGTTAGACATAAAAAAATTTCACGCGTCTTAATCCTTAACAGTAACAGGTACGTGAAACGTTTCACGCGTCTTGTTCGATATAGCTTCTACAGTACTATACTCTTTATGTAGGGGTGCAAAATTTCTCAAGTTTTGTAAAGCCTTTATGTATAGGTGCAAACATTAGTCTGAACATCTTTCTCGAAAAAAAAAGAACACCTTTTAAAATTGATTAGCCTCCGTCCCCTTCAGGCCGTTATATATGCAGGGTGGAATTTTATTTTCTTTTTAGGTCTCAAAAGAATATTTCGGACGCGTTGTTAGAAATTATTGCGTCATTGTGGCGGGAAAACTCGTCACCTGATCTGAAAACTGAGCTTTGCACGAGAGTCTTGGAACTGTGTAGTCGTTCGGAGTCGTGGAGCTGATCAACTGTGTGGATTGAGTGTAGATCATCGAATTTTTACGCGAATTGATGTCGATGAATCCTTTAAGTGTAGAACAGAGTACAGAATTCTAAAACATGAACATGTGAAGAAATATACTTTAATGGAGTGAAGAATTAAAGCTACAGAGAACTGATTGTTTCATACAACATTTGGTTACACGCGTCCTGGTCTCAATACCCAAGGACGTTTTTTAGTGGTCACGCCATCTTAAGGCCTTCAGTCATAAACGAACGTCTTGTGTGACACCACAGGTAGCCCAAGCTCACTATGAGAGCCCTGAACAACATTATCCTACTTAGCTAATTAATTATTCATACACCAAGAAAATTATAAGACGTGGTATGGAGAAATATTCTTTGCTCACTAAATTAGCAAAATGTACATTGAATATCGCTTTGAAGCTTACCTTTAGCGTCTTCTTGTTTTTCTTTGTATTCTGNCCTTTACTGATCTTATGACCTGTGCAGTTGGAATCCCGCTGGATGTTGCTGTGATTTTATTTCAACGCTGGCCTTTCGGCGCTCTCATGTGCAAAGTTGTGTGGCCTTTCCAAACTGTTCTTACTGCAGTGTCTGTGGGAACTCTAACGTGTATGGCTATTGAGCGATACAGAGCTATTTTGACTCCTTTCAAAACAATGCTTTCTCAAAACGTTGTGAAGATTGTTATTTGTGCGGTTTGGTGTTTATCTGTTGCTCTTGTAGCACCTTACATTGTTATACTCGAACATAAAGATGGTGTGTGTCGTGAATCGTGGCACAACGAGTACCATCCAAAGATGTTTACCGTTGGCGTTTTCTTGCTTTTCTACGCGACCCCTCTAGGCGTGATTGCTCCTGCTTATGCGTGTATTGGATGCAGACTACATTCGGACGATAGAAGGATGAGAAAATTTAGCCAACAACAAGGTCCGGGCAATAGACAGTTTCAGGCACTAGTGAGAAAGCGATCCAGAAGCAACGTTGTGATCGTGAAAACGTTTTTATTTGGCGCCGTGGTATTTGCGATCTGTTTACTTCCTTACCACGTTATGTGGCTGTGGCATGACTTCGGTCAAGGAGGTCGATGGACACATTTTGAAGACACTTTGGTGTTTGCAAATGCATTAGTGTACTTTAACAGTCTTGTCAATCCGTTTATTTTTGGGGGAACAGTGGCTTTTAATTGGCGAAAAAGCTGTACCGCCATGTTTGCTAAAATCATGATTCGCTGGAGCCAGAATTCATCACAGAGAACACAAAATATTATAACTCGCAAGCAAAATGACCCCAAAACTCTATTGCAGCAACAATCTGCGCCATCATCGAGCTTTGTCCAATATAGTTCATCTGTTTGAGAAAATGAATTAATTTAGTATGCGTTTACACAATTAAAAAGAAACTTACAGTTTAAAACGGTGATCGACCACTTACGAATAAGCCTTATTTCATTATTTACTAATAATGGAAACCATTTTTAATCATTTTGACACCAGCCTCCAGCCTGAAAACCACTAGACTGCAAAACGTTTGAATTTTTTATCGCTCAGTGGTTTCCGGCTTAATCACTTATTTCAACCAAGAAAGGGTTTTCCTTAAAGACCTTAATCAACCGACAGCGCCTCCCAATCATGTTTTAAGACTTCAGTTCTTATCACTGACCAGAATATCCCTAGCTCTTACACAATGACTTAATAAACTTCATACAATAGAAAGAGACAATAGTGCGAACATTAATATACATCCAGAAATCAACCCGTTTATTCAAGGCACGTTCTGTCTAGACAGAAAGCTAAATATTGATAAAGAACGTGAGATCACATGTTGTAAAGCAACAATTTTCCACGTAACTATTATGTAAATGAACAATTTTTACACTGAAAAATTGATCAAAAAAAGTTTTAGTTGTATATAAAAAAACTTCACGCGCCTTGATCCTTAACAGTAACAGGTACGTGAAACTCTTCACGCGTCTTGTTACATACTGAGCTTCTACAGTACTATGCTCTTTATTTATGCACCTGCTATCAATGTAAAGCCGGCGGGGGGGGGGGTGGCGGGCCGGGAGGGGGGGGGCGGGTGTGCGGGGGACGG